ATGGGGCAGAACTCGGAACAACGGCCAGATAGGACAGCATGTTCGGCTGCGAATATTTACGTAATTACATATAATCGACATAATAAATATATCATTGAGGATTTTAATAAACTCATTTGAATTGTTTCGTAACGTTTAATAATTATTTTTAAAGAAAAATTAATTGCTGTTACATTAGTCTCATGATATAATCAAAGAAATGATTTGAAAGTATTTAAATTCGAATATATAGAGAAATATAGATAAACTCAGAAAACTGAACAGCAACTGCAACAATAAGGAAAATTAGACAAATTTTGTTCATAGTTGATCGTTTATAACTTTGATTTTTTTCTTAATTAATTCTCGTCTAACTTCTGTCAGTAAGCGACATGCAACTATTTTCATATTTTCGGTTTTATATATATATAAATTGCTAAGCTACCTAAAAGTTTAATTAAATATTCAATTGTGAAATATTTGTATCTCTAAAAATAGTTTTCATCTTTAGTATTCAAGTTTGTCGTCAAGTGCAGGCAAGGTTTTCATATAAAATATTGTATCTATCCGAAATACCCATTAGAATTAACTAAGTAAATTTTTTTAAAATTCTTGTAGCCACTCCAAATAAATAACCTTTGGCTAATTTAAATGAAGATTTTTAGTCCTAATATAAAAATTGAAAAATAATATTTTATTAAAATTTACAAAAATATTTGGCATTTTTTCCGGACTTTTAACACACACAACAACCTGGTTACGTGACTGTGCAAGAATAATATGTCAAATTTTCCACAAGTTTTCAAAATATTTTCAAAAATGATTTCAAAATCTTCTTCTGATGTAATGTAGACGTAAAGTTTACATTTTCATTAAGTATCTTTTCTATGAATATACATATTACTCATTCATTTCATAAAATAGCAAACTTAAATAATTTTAATTTTTTCAATGCTACCAAACGTAGTCGAAAATTTTTACATGATAGTAACTTCAAACAACACCTTTCCACCTTTCAAGAAACACCAGACGATCCATCGGATAATATTGAAAATGCTTTGTAATTTTAAAAAATTTTCAACAAACCATTGCTGTGGTTACCCTTATGTAAAAGAACACCAAACCAGGAAGAGCAGTGAGCGGGAAAAGAGATGAATAGTATTCGTTTGGATAGGCTGGACACGTGTTTCGTCCCTGCCGGGGACTCATCAGCAGCCCGAATACCTATCAGAATAGCTATCTCAGTTTCTTATATAGCCAGCACAAATCACTTCGTTAGTTTGTTTATTATAGAAGATTGTTAGTTTCAGTTCGATACCACTCAACTGTAATTATAACTGGTGTCTGGAGAACTTTCAAGTTGTAACTGATGAACTCCATGTTGAGTTTATCCCAATGGGACCATCGCCACTGAATACTACTCATCATGCGTGAATCAAAATATCTTAATTGAAAAATATTTCAAGTGGTCTCTTCAATGGGATGTATTTTTAACTTCAATTTTTTTGAAATTCCATTTTTTTTAATTTATTGAGATTGAAAATTAAATTTTAAAATTATTCTGTTAAATTCAACCTTGACCGTAAAGGTTTATTCATTGTTAGAGACTTCAACCGATTAGCCCACCTTGTCTATGCACGCTTCTGATAAAAGAGCTTCGTTTCGTACATTCAAAAAATATTATAATGTTATTTCGTTTAGTTACCTGCAATTTTAGTTAATGATCTCTTAACAAATGGTTTTTACCGTTCATGTAGTATAATGAAAATGTAAATCATCAAACTTACAATGCCGGATGTTGGGAGCTAATGAAAATGATTGTATATATCTTTGTTGGTCATGTGAGCTTCGGCTTAGTTGATATCTAGCATGATTTAATAACATTTTCTTGCAAAGGTGTTTGTTGTAATTTTATATTGTTTGCACTACGTATTTAGATGATTTCTCAATGAGATACGAGCCTTCATGCGAGAAATAGCTGTGAATTCACCTTTCCAAGGACTCCATGTACTCGCCTAGCTCATCCCTTAAGAAGCCTTTCCAGAGTTGAACTACTTGCTCGCCTTCCTGTGGTTTGAGTGTTGCTGCTGCATCGCGGTATCACTCAAAAAAATTTAATTTCATTATACTAAAATAAACATTCTGTTTAAACTGTTTAAAATATTATTAAAAAAAAAACAAAAAACATTATAAATTAACTTAGTACATTGAGTTGTCGCATTGCATATTTCAAAAAAAGACGTTCCAAAAAATTATTCAGAGATCACTACATCTGGTCAACTTCATCTGTTTTTCAAACATTACATCGGTGTACTTTGGCAAGCGAGCAGCGTGATAAAAACAAAATGTATTTTAACATCGTCGTCACCATCATCATTGTCACCAGTATCATCATCGCCATCAAAGATTAGAAGTCATTGAAATAAAATTTGAAGTTTTGAAAATGACAGATTCTACATTTGCACGTTCATTTCAAGTTTGTCAGTTAATTAAGCCAGTTGAACTCTCATCTCGACGAACTTCAAGGAGTAGGTGTAGCCACGGAAGGAGTTCCAGTTGACTCCATCAGCTAATGATTTTTGATCTCCACGCAGGTAGAGTCCGTTGAGATTGCACTGGTGGCAAGCGTTGTACCACCAGGCTCCTGAATGCTCCTTTGCGCAGTTGTAATTCATGGGATCGTGGTCACTGTCGAACGTGGAGAATGGCATGCCTTCGTGTGTCCTCAAGGAATCTCCTGTTTTCTCCACAAAAAACATTTAAAAACTATTTCAAATTTCTCTAATATTTAATTACAAACAAGATTAAAACTCAGAACACAAATTATAAATTTGTAGATTTTAAAAAAGTATAAAAACCAGCCTGCAGATCCAGTGTAAATTCCAATCCTCAACGTATAATTGGTTTCCGGTGAGTCGACAGTGAATGAATCGTACGCTGCACACCTCACATCTCCATCGAAATCTTCCAACGTGATCAACAGTTTGTACTTATTGGTTGTTGTAATGCGATGCAAAACATCCAATCCTGATGAATTGAAATAATAGAAAAGCATTAGTGAAAAAAATAAAACTTATTTTGAATGTACCGATCCAAAATTCTTTGCACGGGTCACCAAATCCATTTTTATAATCAGTCCAATTCCTGAAAAAGTTTTCCGATCCATCCATGCGTCTCTGCATCACCTGAAAAAAAATTATCATTTGTGCCGAAAATTTTCTGGAAAATTCATAAGAAAAGTCAAGCTGGAATTCTAATAGTCTTTTGAATAAGCACAATGATACATATCAAATTTTATTTTTGTTCCTAAATCACTCATTAAACTTTGATTGGTTTACTGAAAAATTTCGACCTGCCAAAAATGAAAAAACAGAGCCTAGTAGGAGCTTCTTCAATAGACATTTATCTTGGGGTTAAGGTTTTAAGTGAAGAGGTCCCGTAGCAACAGCAATACATTGTTAAATTTAAGTGAAAAATACCGGCTTCTATGTTTGCCAAATTTACGTTAAAGATATGGAAATTTTAATAAATTGTGTGATAAAAATGGTAGACTTTTTTTCTAAAAAAATTCTACTCTTTCCAACAAAAAATTTTTAGCTGCGACGCTTTGGAAAATTAGAACTTTTGTAAAGGAAAAGGATTTATTCGGTTAGTGGTGCATTCCAAAAAGAGTTTCGGCAATAAAAATTGTAGAATCGAATGAAAATCAGTAATTATCTGTAACATGATGTTGAAAAAATTTCTTAATTTGGAATTTTTTCGTTTATGAAAAGAAGATTAAAAATATATTCACTAAAATAGATGGATGAATTAAAAAGATTGCTTCAACTTCGTTTCTTATGAAATTATCATTTGTATTAGATGTCACTGCTTTTGGAATTATTTCAAATGAAAAAGACAACTTATTCGAAATTAATTTTAGTTATTTAACTCGTTAGTTGATAGGTTTATGATGTTAGTTTTTTTAAATAAATTTAATTTTAAATTTAAACAATCGATTAATTAGCAATTTAACTTGTCAAACTTACAAAATATTGCTTTCCTGTGGAATACTCCTTGCAAAGGTTTGGCTTGATTGAAAACAAATCTGAATAAATAAAATTACTGATACTTTCAACTTTCATAAAATTCTAATTCTTAATATTTTTATTTATTTTAAACTATACAGATTCTAACTGATACAGAATCTGTTAACTTTAAGTTTACCAAACGTCATGTATTTTTTACCAATATATTTGTAACATGTGAAGAAATTGAAATCTCACAAATATTTTGTGGTCAGATAGTATTATCTCAATTTGTTTAAATGAATTTATCATATGTGTAAAACACTAAGCATGTTGTCCATTAAATACAGTTCAACCAGTGGCGAATCTAAAAAAAATATGACGGGTGGGGTCGAAATGTTCACAGGAGGGCCAAGATTTGTGGTAGTTTGACTGGCGATCTCTTTTGGTCAATTTTATAAATAAAACAGTTCTTTGTCAGACTTAAATTATAAAACTGCCCAACATGGAGTGGCCTTCATCTAATTCGCCACTGAGTTCGACAATGAAAAGCGATCACGAATATAAGTACTTGCTTTGCAAAAATAATATTTTATTAAGTTTATTAATAAAATTAGAGAATATGTCTAAAAAAATATTTTTGAAGTTTAAGAAAAAACCAAATCACCTGGTTCAGCCTGGACAGGTTTAATCGTTTTAATCTAGAAACAAAAATGTTGAAAAAATCTTTTTAAATACTTTATGATTTGGTAAAAATTGAACGTATATCGTTCACTTTTTATGAAGTGTGATGAAAAAAATGAATCACCCTTGAATAGAGGCAGGAATTGTTGGGGATGAAAAGTAGAGGAGCGTACGCAAACAAGCGACAATGCACGTAACCACTGGAAGATGTATCAAAGTTGAATCCGACGCAGTCGTCAGAAGAGGCACACATCAAAGCACATTTCATCCGCATCTGCAAGACACCTTTGACGCCACTTTCGAAAGTGGCGTCCGACGACGATGTTGGAGCCGTTGAAGCTGCTGATGTGACTGCACAGAGATTGCAGTTAGGATTTTTGTCACTGTATGTCAAGTTAGTTGGTATTTTGTAGGAGATAAACATCGGTTCGAAGCATTTACCATTTGTATCTTTAACAGCAACCATCATTAACGTTATAATTAAGCCAAAGTGAGAGTAGTTTGCTGGCATTTTGCTGACTGTTCCAATGGAAAATTGTTTAATTTATAATACACACACACACAACAGGAAAATGTTTAATTTATAATACTCACACACACACACACACATATATATATATAAATAGGTAGTTCGCGTATAAATAATAAATTCTTTGTGATAAATATTGCGCGTTTTTGTTATATATATATATATATATATATATATATTTATTTATTTATTTATTCATTTATTTATATATGTGTGTGTGTGTCTATGTATATATATATATATATTTTATATCTATATATATATTTTTACAACAAGACATTATCGCTACCGATTACAATTAAAAATACAACAGTTGCTACAAAATACCATCTACGCAGCATATAAAAAAATGGATAGACCTAAAAATTAAACAAAATTTGAAAAAAAAATTCAAAATCAAAGTCACCCGTTTTAGTTCATGCAGCATCAACAGAATGTTTTAACGAAAATTTGCACTCTTTTAAATTTTTAATGAATGTGCACCACACCACCTCTGTTTGAAAATATCGACGAAATAAAAATGAGCAAAGACGCTGCAATTAAAAAGCCAATGTAAACGGCAGCCATGTATTAACTCGTGGAAACATTCTAAACGCAAAGTCTAATTGCAGAGTTTAACATCAAACAACGAACATTGCATCTAGGATGTGTTGAAACATGTTTGCTATTCGGAGCAAAATATTTTTATTGCAATGTCAACCATCACAAGTACTGTCAAAAATTAACGTCATCATTTCAAATAGTTTTACTTATAATCATATAATTGACTGAAGAGTTGCGTCTGAGAAAAACCAAAATACAAAAATCAATTGAGAATGTGCAGCAATTTAGAAAATTCTAGCTGAAATGAGTTTGTTTGAATACGAAGGGATTGCGTGTCAATAGAATTTTCACGTTAGCAGCACATGTTTTTATGAGGAAGTGTCTGAATAAGTTTAAATAACTTTGGTGAAAAGTTGTAATGTGATTGTTTGCATAGAAAAATCTTATTAGCAAGTTGATTTAGTGCCATACCTTGAAAATTGTCGTAGAGGTCTTTGAAAATTTTACAAACTTTTTATAGGAAATTTATGTTCGATTAGATCCCCCAAAAATTGAATATCAACATATTTGAATGTACAATATTTTGTGTGGTTACAAAATGCTACAACGTTCAAATAGGAAAAGAAATGTGTGTTGTAGGGGGAAAAGGAGAAAACTGAACGTCAGCAGGAGCAATTTCATAAATTGTTTTTAAATAACTAATTAGTTATTTAATATTCCATACTCGTGATATTACTTTGATTTTTGTTACTATTATATAATGTTTTAGACAATAGCAGAAACGATTTAAAATTTTTATTTTCCAATTTGAATTAATCATTTGAAATTTTTTATTTTTTGGCTATGACATTCACTCAATTACATTTTAATTAAGGTGGTCTGCACAAGTTATTTTTCTTTTAGATCTCCCTGGTGATTTTCTTATTTACCAAATAAATGACTGGAAATAAAAAAAAATTGTTTTTGAATCATAAATTTACTTTACAAAAATCAAAAAAAAAGTTTATCAACCTTTGACACATATTTTTAAAGTTTGAAAATGCAGTCACTTTGATATCAGTGGATACCTATGTAGCGTTTACATGAACGTTTAACGAACACGAAATGTTCGAATGTCAGTTCCCCACCATGAATAAATCATGAACCATTCGACGTATGTTATTGATCCAACGTCATTGTTCCCGTACCGGTTGAAAATATTTTTCCGATACAGTTAAATGTTTTGAAAACATGCGAGCGGAATGAATAATGCCTGAGACAAATTTCAATAGACCAGCCGCATTTCAATAATTAATTTTGAAAACAAACAAACCAACAATGACAATGACACATAAAATAACAGTGATGTTAACAAAAGCATTTCTGTCAAACTGGATGAACATTTATTGGCACGATTAATTGGCAAAATGGCTAAAATATTTTCAACATTTTAGTGTGTGGAATCAAACACTTGAAAATTATTAACGTTTGCAGTGGAAATGATTACGGTCAAATGACATTTGACATTTCATATGTTCCAAATCTTCTAAATAAGAATAAAACAGAACTATGTATCAAAAGCTTTATTTAAAAATATATTTCACATTTTTGTTGACAAGCAGTGTCCACAGTAAATGTTTCAGACCTAGTTCTGGCTCATTTGATACAAGATTTACATTATTATCAAATGGAAGATATCCAAATTGTAATCTCTGCGGCTTGTCGTCTGATTTGAGTGATCCATCGATTGCAGAGTTTCAAAGTAGCTCCCTGGACGTTCTGAAGATGCTGGTCAGATGCGCTCTCGTGTGCGCCTCCATTCTGGATTGCGTTGGATTCAACTACAGGACAGTTTATAATGTTTATCCGCATTGCCAGTTCTTCAACTACACCCCGCTGATCTATATTTCAAATGATTTTTGCATTTACCATCATGAGGTTACTTTTTGCTTCTTTTCAATATGTTGGAATTTCTATCTAAAAAGTATACAAGTGTCCATGAATTTTGTTTGGTAAATTTTCATTTGTACAACTATTTTTTCCAGATAGTTTCAGAAGTAAAAGAAACACCGGGTTAGTTTTGAATTTTGGTTTGTTGTAAAAATTAAGACAAATTTGTTTCAATTCGCTAATTCCACAATAATTTTTAAAAACAATTTTATATTGAGACCAGTATTTTTTGAACAAACTGGTCGATTGATGCTTGGTAGGGCTTAATTTCAAATAAAGTTTTAAATAAAAGTGTTATCAAATTCAACTTTAACTCTAACAAAAATCATCCGATGTAGAAGTCTCAGTCGTAAAGACCTACATGGTTACACTATTTGAATAAAATGCTGAAATTTATCTAGTGAAAATTCAGACTTAATATGAAACTAAGACCGACGCAAAATTTGAAATATAGCAATTTAACTGCAGCATCTTAACTTTATCATATCTCAGTTTTTTAAAAGGGTTCATGGGTCCAATATTTGATCCACTTTACTAATGAAATAGTTATGGTATCACTGACTAACTACACTCAAACAAAGGGATGGCAAACTTTTTACTGTGAGGGCCGCATCGAGAACTATTTTACCTTTGAAGGACAGTTTATGTATTTAAATAGCAAATTTTTTTTGACTCAGAAGAGAATATTTTTTTAAGTTTTGTGGCTCCTTTTTTTATGTTATAATGTCTAGCTGACGACATCTTTTTTTGCAAACAAGGCCACGCAGTCCGCATAAAATAGCTTCGCGGGCCGCATGCGGCTAGCGGGCCGTAGTTTGCTCACCCCTGCTTTAACACATGATGTAGTCCTTGACTGCCATGGTTAATCGTCTTGCTGGTTGCCGAATAAACTTTTTCTTTTTCACAGTTCCTATGTTCTGTTTTGCTCCAGCTTGTTTTTTATATTTAATTTTTAATAGATACATCAACAGCGATGAAAGATAAAGTAAATCATTCAAGAGTTTAATCATTTCTAATTTTCTTTGTGTTGTTTCAAGTTTTTCCATTTAAAATTTCAT